TTCTCAAGTGGACGACGTCCGCGGCGACACCGACAGCGAGTCCTGCTCGAAGTAGGCTGGAACCGCTGCGGCCTTCCTCACCATCGTTCCCGTACAGTCGGACCCAGGCCAGAAGAACATCCTTCAAACATCCGAGGGTACCCTCCCCAGGACGCACAAGAAATCACAAACGAACGTCCAGCAAGCACCAGAAACACTCAGGGCACCCTCCCCGAACCGACCTCGATCTTGCACCTTGGTCCGACTGCAGGCTGGAACCGCTGCAGTTTTCCTCACCATCCTTCCCTAGGGTAGACGAGCGCGTTCCAGGACTCGCAAAGTAGCTGCTCGCAAATGGCACGGATCCCCCGTGGAGGCTCTGCGAGAAACCACGTCAAAGCAGACATGCGTTTTCAGGACGTTTGCGAGGAGGCACCTTGCGGGCAGCGCAGCGCGCTCGGTGATAGGGGAGCGAACAAGGACAGGGACATAATTTTTGATCCGCGGGTCGAGAGCGCACCTCAGCCGGTCGAAGCTAAGCGGGCCGCGCACAGCTTTAATTGACAGAGGGAGGAAAACAGAAGGAGGGGCCACACGTCAAGGCCAAGAGAGGGCAAAGCCCCGGGATCAGGCGGTGCCGAAGGCGAAGGGCATGCAAAGATACGCCTTGAACAGGAAGCAAGGACAGAGACATCAAAGGCTCGGAGGCTTACGCGCGGACTCCTCGCATCTCGGCGCCGGAGCCCCCCTTCCCTGGCGCGCGGAGGAGGTGGGGGAGGAGGGGGAGGAGGGGGAGGAGAAAGAAGAGGAAAAAGAGGAGGAGGAGGAGGAGGAGGAGGAGGAGGAGGAGGCGGGGGAGGGCTTCTTAGAGGGAGGCTGCTTCTTAGGAGGCGCCGGCCTTACATCGATAGACAAGGCCCGCGCCTTCTAAGAGGCAGGGGTGCTTCTAAGAAGCCCTCCCCCCTCCCCCCACCCCCCTCTGCGCGTGGCTGATTTACATGGTTGTGTCATCGTGAAGGGGCCCTGGGACACACATATGAGTACACACAAGTAGCAGGATTCCCCATATTTTCCCGTATGTTCTGGGTTTCTGTCTTTCCCCCCACTGCCCATATCTTCCAATGTGCTCTGGGGAATCGACGATGAATTGTGTTTGTGTGTGTGTTTCTTTTCCCTCTTGGCATTGTTCGTTCCCCAGCTCCCGCACCCGTCTCCGACAAGGCAGGCCCGCCCTTCCTGCGCGGCCGCCGGAGGAGAGGAACCACCCAGCAATTAGGAAGCATCTGCTGAGAGGTCTTCGTCGGAAAGATCAAGGAGGATAAAGCGCCATTGCGGGGCTGCTACGCCAGAGTGGGCTTCGGATTACGCGGGAGTCAGCCGGATTGAGCCGGATTGAGCCGGATTAAGCGGGCTCAAGCCGGATGAAGCCGGATTAAGCCGGACTTCGGACCCGAGCTGGATCAAGCCGGATTAAGCCGGATTAAGCCGGATGAAGCCGGATTCAGCCGGATGTGACCTTCCAGGAGCTGCATCCGACTAGCAGCCCCCTCAGGCTCGGCTGAGGAGCCCCTGTGGCGGAGCGGGAGGCGCTGGCGGCGCCTCCCGCGGTGGCCGCGGCGGCCAGAGCGGGGGAGCCCAGAGGTGCCGATACCGCTGCAGCCGAACCCAGGCCAGAAGGACACCCCGCAGGAGCATGAGGTCCTCCGCCGGCCAAGGCCAACAGGGCATCCAAGGGCATATCCTCCCCGGGACGCATAAGAACATCCGACCAGACACGAAGAACAGCGGGGCACCCTGCCCGAAACCAGCCTCGATCTTATGCCCCGGTCCGACTGCACTCCCCGAACCTCTCCCGGGGTGCGTCCTGACCAGGATTTCGAGGCGAATCCAGCGGTGTTGACGAGGGCCTCCCAGGAGGCCCCAAATGGGGAAGACGAGGGAGGGGTAGCGATACGGTTGCCAGGACAGGTCCTTGCCAGGATCGGTGGAATTTACATGGGCATTTGTGTATCAGACTACGTCTGGGTCCCGTAATCCTTATCCTCCTCCTCCTCCTCCTCCTCCTCCTCCTCCTCCTCCTCCTCCTCCTCCTC